AATTCTGGGTCAAACGAAGTTGATGAATTTTTGTTAGCAATGGGCTTGATGTGTAACAGAAGGCGAGTAAAGAAACTAAAGATCTGATGATCACAATTAAACTGAATAGCAGGATAGGCATGAGGGACTGAAAGGCCTTTTCAGGTTTCTCAGGTCTCATGCAGTTCAAATTTACAGACTATTTTCACAGTTAGGCAAACAGAACCACTAAATGAATTTGATAAGGGATATATATTTCAATTGAATCCAATTATAAATTGCTGACCAAATGGAACGAATCTTTACACGACTTCATCATCCGACTCTATCCAGTTGGAATTACAAAATCATCACCATGATGCATTTGATGCACAATTAATTCTTCTCCTAGCATCCATCTGCAAGCTTGAAATCCAAAGATTTGTCAGTCATAACTCACATACAATTGTATTTTGGAAAATGTAACACCAAATTTCCATGGGAAAGCCACTTTACAAAGGCAAGTGGTATTAAGTTGTTAATCAGTACAGGGTACTGCAGTATCATATACTAACAGGGTCAAATGTAAGTCCCTTAAAAGCACTTGTTCCTCTGTCAGACACAATGATGCAAGGTGCTAGCATGGCTAGAAGATTGGCTGTCTGGCAGAAAGAAGACAGTAGGGACAAAGGGGTCTTTCTCAGGACGGCAGCCGGTGACAAGTGAAGTCCCGCACTTTGTACATTAATGATCTAGATGAAGGAACTGTGGGCATTCTGGCTAAGTTTGCAGACGATACAAAGATAGGTGGAGGGACAGGTAGTATCGAGGAGGTGACGAGGCTGCAGAAGGACTTGGACAGGTTAGCAGAGTGGGCAAAGAAGTGGCAGATGGAGTACAACATGGGAAAGCGTGAGGTCGTGCACTTTGGTAAGAAGAATAAAAGCATGGACTATTTTCTAAATGGGGAGAAAATTCAGAAGTCTGAAGTGCAAAGAGACTTGGGAGTTCTAGTCCAGGATTCTCTCAAGGTATACATGCAGGTTGACTCAGTAGTCAGGAAGGCAAATGCAATGTTGGCATTTATTTTGAGAGGATTTGAATATAAAAACAGGGACGTACTACTGAGGCTTTATAAGGCTCTGGTCAGACCACATTTGGAGTATTGTGTGCAGTTTTGGGCCCCATATCTCAGGAAGGATGTACTGGCCCTGGAGCAAGTACAGAGGAGGTTCATGAGAAGCTCCCAGGAATGGAAAGCTTAACATGAGGAATACTTGAGGACTCTGGGACTATACTCATTGGAGTTTAGATGGATGAAGGGGGATCTAATTGAAACTTTCAGAATACCGAATGGCCTGGACAGAGTGGATGTTCAGAAGAGGCTTCCATTGGTAGAAGAGTCTAGGACCCGAGGGCACAGCCTTAGAGTAAAGGGAAGACCTGTTAGAACGGAGATAAGGAGAAACTACTTCAGCCAGAGAGTAGTGAATCTATGAAATTCACTGCCACAGAAGGCTGTGGAGGCCAGGTCATTCAGTATATTTAAGACTGAGATTATCAAGGGGATCAAGGGTTATGGGGAGAAAGCAGGAGAATGAGGCTGAGGAACTTATCAGCCATGATTGAATGGCGGAGCAGACTTGGTGGGCCAAATAGCCTAATTTCTGCTCCTATGTCTTATGGGCTTATATTCGAGATAGTCCAGCGCAGTACTGAAGGACAGCTGCACCGTCAGAGGTTTAACCATTCAGATTCAGATTGTTAAATTGAGGTTCCCATCTGCTCAAGATTTCATGGTGTTACTTTCAAGACCAGGGTAATAATCAAAGTGTATATGCCTACATTTAGCATGCAAGCATCACCACAATCAGGTTTTCTTCTGCAATATAGTTTAGGCGAAAACTGACTGCTGCACATCTCATATTATAACAGTGACCATATTTCAAAGGTACTGCATTGACAATGTCACTGTGTGATATCCTCTGGTGTTGAAATGCATTATATAGAGGGATAGCTTTCTCTATGTATTTCAAATGGATTTCTAAAAGTTTTCTTCCCTACATCCCAGACAGGATAGTGAATTTGATAGCTTGCTTCCACAAGGAACTGCTCAAATAGAATCTCTTAAATGTGAGACAAATACTTTGAAGGGGTCTTGCATCGTTTATTACAAAAATACTTTCAGTATGTTAGCTTCCAGTACTTGGCTGCACAGTTGGTTTGCACAGCCAACAACATGGGTTCAATTCCTGTACCAGCTGAGGTTACCATGAAGGACTCTCCTCCTCAACCTCTCCTCTCACCTGCAGTGTAGTGGCCTTCAAGTTATATTACCACCAGTCATCTGTCTCTAATGAGAGAGAGCAGCCCAATGGTCTGTTAAAACTATGGCGACTTGACCTGACTTTTATTGGATTATCATTTAAACAGCTAAATAAATTTAGAGCAGCAACTGGATGTCAAAATATTTATCATCTATGTACCTTCCCCATTTTGGGCGGAGGTCCATAAAGGCCAATGTAAAAATCAAACCTCTGTCCTCCACGGATGGGTTGAAAGTTCTGTTGCTTATCGCCCAAAATATTTATGGCTCACATTGTTACCCCTAGGAAGCTTTGCTAATGTGCTTTCTGATGTAGTTCTTGGTCTTTCAGTTTCTATGGTATCACTTGTTACAGGATAACAAATTCTGGTATAAGCTGATTGCCCTATTATTTTATAACATTTTCATTGTTACAGAGCCAGGGCTAAACAACTGCTCCACTTCACTTCAGGGTACTACTTGTCTAACAATTCCACAGATGGCAAATATTTGATGTCATGCAAACCATTTTATAAATTGATAAAGAGATGTGGGCCAGTGATGGCAGAATCAGAGTTACGGAGCACAGAAACAAACCCTCGGTCCAACTCGTCTATGCTGACCAGACAGCCTAAACTGATTTAATCCCATCTGCCAGCGTTTGGCCAACATTCCTCTAAACCATTCCTATTCATGTGCCCATCCAGATGCCTTTTAAGTGTTATAATTGTATCCACCTCCACCACCTCCTCTGGCAGCTCTGCATGAAAAAATTGCACTTCTTGCCCCTTTTAAATCTTTCCCCTCTCACCTCAAACCTATGCCCTCTAGTTTAGCATTCCCCTACCGTGGGAAAAGATCTTGGCTATTCACCCTATCCACACCCCTTATGATTTTATAAACCTCGATAAGGTCACCCCTCAGCCTCCAACACTCCAGGGAATAAAACCCCAGCCTATTCAGCCTGTTCCTATAGCTCAAACCTTCCAACCCTAAACGTCAGCCTTCCTGCTCCTCTGATGCTGCTTGGCCTGCTGTGTTCATCCAGCTCTACACCTTGTTATCTCAGATTCTCCAGCATCTGCAGTTCCTACTACCTCTGAAACAACCTTGTTAGTCTTTTCTGAACCCTTTCAAGTTTAATGACATCTTTCCTATAGCAGGGAGACATGTTGCCAGACCTTGGCCTGTTCACACTTAATATACTTAACGTTGAAGATTAAGAGCAAGAAAGACAGTTTCTTTTTTTCTTTTAAAAAAAGCCTTGAATACCATCTTGAATAACTTTAATTTGTGTTCCTATTAACATACATCATGCCCAGCTAATTTTTTTCCAATTAAATTATTCACCATAATGCCATTTGAAAACTAAACTCAAATGTTCCCAATGTGATTAAACACATTGAACCAGTGCAAATAGTTATTTTATTAATATTCAGATCCCCTTCTAGACAAGCATAACATTCTAATTCAGTATTAAAAATCCTACTCAATCTGAAATGAATGATGTTGAATACTACAGAGCATTTATCAATCTAATCTATTAGTAAGTTTTACTTGCTGCCTTAATTGGGCTGCTTTAAAAACAAATTCACCATCTCAACCAAAGTTTGGCATGCAGAAGGCAGTAAATAAACAAATTATTTTACACTTTACCCGCTCCTCAAAGTTGAGCCATATTACTGTTTTACTTTTTCCCGGTATATCAATATAAAGGCACAAGATCACAACCTATGGCCCATCTAGTATATAAGAATCTAAACAATTTATGCCTCCCAGAAGGTTTTAAAAACGTGCCCCATATGATAAAGCCTGTACAAGGCCTGTACTGAACTTTGCAAGGTAGTTTCATAGGAAAGTTAGAAAGACACCTTTAAAACCCAAGCAGTTGATTCAGAATCTACTCTCAATTTGTGGGCAACAAAATCTAAGTTGTGTTAAAGAAAAGAATGCCAATGCGATCGCAACAAAGAGGTAGAGGTGGTGCAGGGCCTGGAGCCTCACGGTACAAGAAGCGAGGAGCGGTTCGAAATCTCACGCCGGCCTCCAATCCAACGCGTCTCACGTGTTTGAGTTCAGCAGTGCCGGACGCTGGCAGGGGAGCGAGGAAGGCAAACCACCTCCAGAGTCGGAAGAGAACCGTCCCGGAATCGGAGCCTGAGGCAGCAACTGGCGGGACAATCGAGCAAACTCCCAGGTTGAGAGGGGAGGGGGTGCCGGCGGTTTGAGCCTGCTCACATCCCACTCACTGCAGCGTGTAGGCCCGGGCTGGAAAAAGGCAGGAAGACGCTTGTTTCCACCGGGTAGAGAAGAGGCTGCAGTATGTGTGTGTGGTGGGGGGAGCGGAGGGAGAAATGTTATGAACACGAACACGGTACAACCCGGTCAATCGGACAGAAGTCCCCCCGGGGGGGGTGAGAAGAGAAGCAAGGCCGCGGTATGGGGGAGGGGAAGGATCACAGTAGACACATGCCGGCGGAACGGGACTCCGGGTAAAGTTTCAACTTTGGAAAAGGCACGAAAATGGATGCAGGGAGGGAGCCGCAGTTTCCGCTCGCAGGTTTAGAGGCATTGGTGGTGGTGGTGGAGGAGGACAAGGGGGTGGTGGGAGGTGTGCACACCAGTTGTGGGGCAAATCATGCCACCACCGCGAGGGAGGGGGAAGGGACAAAAGTGTCCCGATCCGACCGGGAAGGCGCACGCTCTGGATCACCCCCGTTCTCTCTCTCTCACTCACCAGGATCCGCTTGAAGAGGGCGTTCTCCTTAGCTGGCAGCGTTATCGACGGCATGGCTAGCTCTGGTGCAGCGGGCTCGGTGGCCGGTTCGCCGGTTCGAGTGAGACACGCGCTGTCTTTGGTGGTTTTACTTGCTCCCCCCCGAATACGATCCTGGGGCTCCTCAGCTCATGGGCCGCTTTTGCCTTTTTTTTTCTCTCTCTCTCACTCACACACACATGCACTTCTTCCTTCCCTCCTCTCTTTTTTTTCTCCCCCCAGCCACTCCGCGGCCCCGCAATTTGCTCTCGCTTCGAGCGGGACCTCCGCCTTCACGTGTGTTTTTTTTTTTCCGCTCCGCTCCCTGCAGCACTGAATTCAGCGGAGGGGAGGAAAAAAAACCCTCAACCAAAATGGCGGGGGCGGCAGTCAGCAGCAACGCCGGCTCCCTCCGGGTCAGCTGCCACTGCGCAGGCGCCGCTCACCGCGAACCCACACTGTCGACTGACCTCAATGCGCGGAGCACGACGGGACTGTGGAGGACCGCGTGTGGTCCTCCCAAGTGCGTGCCCAGTGATTCCCACCACGAGCCAACTTTGCTGGCCGTGTGTTATTCTTGCAGAGTTCTTGCGTTTTCAATATAAATTTATTTTGTTCTGTTTTTCTGAAATCCAGGGTAAAAAAACAATATCGGTGACATAACAGTAGATCCCGATTTTCCTTATATACCTGACAATGTTATATAGTAAAATTATCGTATGGATGAATATCATGGAACCAAGAAGATAATAAAAGTAAGACCCACAGTATTTTGATTTTGTTAACACGCAGCTTGTGGACTGCTGTGTATTAATATCAGCAGGAATGTATGTATTCAGCCCAATAGCATCGGTTAAGTTTAACACGTCAAGGTGATTCCCTGCGATCTGCACTTACACTGATACTTCCCGATGGAAGGCTAGAAAGTAGGTGTGGCTCCCGGTTTATGTTCTGACTCTTGGGAGAAAGTCCTCCCACTTCATGTAAGTTCCACTGGATTTGCAAAACCGACCGTACGCCACATTCGACAATTCTTTTAAACTAAGGATCCGTGCACGTTAATAGCAACACTTAAATGGAAAACTGTCTTGCATCTACTTGGTAAGTAGAGGATGATGATCAACCCGGGAAGATCTTTCGAGAGAACGAAGAGCGATCGTTTAAGTTGTATCGGTAATTTCAGGTATTGTTATTTTTGAGACAAACAAGGCCACCGATTTGAATTTAAAGTTGCTTTCACCCAGTTTTTGGGCTTTTGACTCGCAATCCCCGCGCACCTGATCCATGTGAGGCAACTCGTGTACAATCATTCAATTTCAAAGGGCAGAAACGCAGGGATCCAGGGGTATTCAGACATAGTTGAAGGTAGTACGGTAGGTTGAGAAAGTGGATAACTTTGACTTTGACAAGGAGATCTTTGACACAAGCACTGAGAATGCTGGAGAAACTCTGCATTTGTAGATGGACAAACAGTTTGACGCTTCTTCTGAAGTCATATCGAATTTGAAATGTTAACTGTTTTTCTTCCTATAGCTGCTGAGTTTCTCCAACATTCTATGTCTATTTCGAAATTCCGGAATCTGTAGCATTTTATTCTTTGCCTATATAAATAGAGGAATAGGGTATAAAAGCCAGCATTTATTAGCCCATCCCTAATTGCCCTTGGAAAGGGTGTCGCGAGCTACCTTCTTGAAGCAGCGCAGGCCATGTGGTGCAAATAGACCTACGATGCTGTTGGGGAGAGTGATTAGGAAGGCTGTGGTGGCATTGGTGATTTTAAAAATGTCAGGAATGGCTCTAGATATGAGGGGCTTCTGTTATTTGGATCAATCATAGAAGCTGAAGGAGAAGATTGAGAGAGGATTTAATAAGGGTGTTCCATAGCTCATAAGGGAACCCAACAGCTTGCAAGGCTCACTAGTATACCAGTTAGTTTCCAGCTATCCAGCTACTAGGTTAGCTTACATCTTTTACAAGGAAAGTTGCATTGTGAGAGGAAACTGCTACTGACATTAGTAATGCAATTATCTGCAATGGAAAACAAGGCAACCAAAACACCACAGCAAGGAGGAGGGTTATCAGGTTCAGAGAAGTGGTACTGAAGCTTGTAGTCATGCAATCTGACGGAAGAGTGTAACCATTGTTTCATAGGGACCAAGAATCCCTTAGGGAATGCCTTCCAACCAGAGGAGGTGGCTAAGGAAGACAAAACAAATAGCCTAATTCCATGAACCTGGCAATAGTACTGGAAAATGTTCAATGACTGCATATAAATCAGGGACTGCACCTGTAGATTGCAGATATGCTCTGGTGAGTATTGTAAAGTTCAAATCAAGCATTCTCTGCAGCAGAACCATTGCTTGAGAAACTTTTCTAGTAGATACTTGGCATTCATTAGTAGAACAGGGATCATTAACCAGGTGTACCACCCTTGATTATGTTTTAGATACTCAAAGATGCCAGGATCAGCAATCTGTCTGAGGGTAGTGAGCATTTCTCACCAATGATGTTACAACCACAGGTCTACAACAGGTAAATATTACTCTAAGGCAAAGAAACTCAAGGGGAAAGGTGAATCGACCATGGTGAAAGAAAGAAGTTAAACATTGTATTTGATCAAAGGCAATGACTTGTAATAATGCCAGAGGTAGTGGTAAACTTGAGAATTTGGATTAATTTATGACCCAGCAAAGGAAGTCTAAAAAAACTGATAAGGAAAGGGAAAAGTGAACATGAATGCCAGCTAGTGAAGAACATAAAAGTGCCTTGGAGATGCACCTTTGATATATGAAAAGAAAAAGATTAACAACAGTAATTGTTGGTCCATTACAAATGGGGACAGGAATATTTACATTTCAAATTATGGGAGGTGGAGAAACTAGACAGAAACACAAGGTGGCCGAGGGGCTTGTGTAACTGAAAAGCTGAAAGAACTTAACATTAGTCGGGAGATAATACTTGGAAAAATTAGCTGGATTGAGGGTTGATAAGTCTTCTGGACCAGATCAGCTTTATCACAGAGTGTTGAAGGAAGTAGCAATAGAAGTAGTGAGTGCATTGATGATTGTCTTTGATAATTCCATAGATTCTGGAAGGTAGCAAATATAACTCCACTGTTTAAGAATGGAGGAACATGGGGAATGGAGCAATACAGACCTATTAGTTTGATGTCCATAGTAGAGAAAATATTAGAATCTGTTATAAAAGTTGTGATAACTGAACATTTATAAAAAAATCTCAAATTGGGCAATATCAACTTGGATTAATGAAAGGGAAATTATATTTGACAGACTTTTGTTTGCAGCATAGATAAAGGAAAACCAGTGGATGTGGTATATTTGGATTTTCAGAAGGCCCTTGACAAGATCTCACAAAAGAGGCTAGTCAGTATAATTATAGCACATGGGATTGGGGGGAGTTACAGTGGTATGGATTAAGAATTGGGTCAATAGACAGAAAGCAGAGAGGAATAAATGGATCGTTCTCAGGATGGTAGGTTGTTACTAGTGACGTACCGTAGGACCATTCACAAACTATTAATAGTTATTTGAACGTCAGGACAATTGTACTGTTTCCAAATTTAGATTAGGAGTAGTGTGCAAGGAAGTTTCAATGGGACTTGGACATGCCAAGTGAATGAGGTAGAACATTACAGATGAAAATGGTGTAAATAAGTGTGAGGTTTTTCATCTGTCTTGGAAAAAAAGACATTAAGGCAGAATATTTCTTAAACGGTGTGAAGTTGTCTGTGAGTCACTAACTGGTAGCATGGAGGTGCAGCAAGAATTTAGAAAGGCAAACAGTATGCTGGTATTCATGCCTTGGGAATTTAATTGCATAAGTAAAGATGTACGACTGCAGCAAGACAGGGCCTTGGTGAGAACTCACTTGGAGTATTGTCTACAGTTTCAGTCTCTTTATCTGACAAAACATATATCTGCCATGGAAGGAGTGCAATGGCGGTTTATCAGATTAATCCCGAGGATGGCGGGATTGCTTTATGAGGAGACATTAAGGAAATTGGGTCTGTATTCTCTAAAGATTCAAAGAGGTGATTCCACTGCAGCTTAAAAAATACAGGGCAAGACAAATAGGATAGGATGTTCCCCTTGGCTGGCAGTTCAAGAATGGCAAAGCAAATGTTCCTTACCCAACTTGACAAAGGCATTCAAATGAGAAGAGGACGAAGGAAGCATTTCAAAGACTTCCTGAAGGCTTCTGTCAAGAAATATAACATAGATGTCAATACACGTGAGACCCTCATTCAGAATAAACTAACTTGGAGGAACGGTCCATACAAAGGAGCACAACTCTTTGAGAATACACATCAGCAAGAGGAAGTATGGAAAAGGAACCAGAGAAAGAAATGCCAGTGATCTTAATGCCAAAGACCTATTCCACCTCCTAGATACACCTGCCAAATTTATGGTCAGGGATGCAGCTCCAGGACCAAATTCATCAGCCATGCAAGGACCCTCCGAATCCATGACTAGTGTCATGGAATTTCCTTAGGTGGACAATCATACACGTAAGTGAGTGATTGGTGACTAAGATGACAGTTCAAGAACCAGGGGATATAATATCAGTATAAAGGTAGGCCATTTAAACTGAGTTGAGGAGGAGTTTCGTCATTCAGAGGGTAGTGAATATTTGGAACTCTCTACCCCAGGTGACTGTGGAAGCTCAGTAATTCAGGTTCAAGAATAAATTGATAGGTTTCTGGAGGCTAATGATATTCTAGGATAAAGAGATAGTGTGGAACAATAAGATTGAGGAGATGATCAGCCAAGATGTTTAATGGCAGGGAATGTTCGATTGGCTGAATGGTCTACTATTCCTCTGAATAGTAACCCTGAACTTCTCCACATTGAAATGTGTAGACAGTCAGTGGCATTCTGTGATGTTGGGATTCCAATAATCCTGACAAATCCATATGCCTGCATTCTGCTGCTATACTACTTGTGAATATATGATGGGATCACTCCTATTCATATATATAGTTTTTAATCATCTTCTAGACATAGCAATGGGTGGTTTACCTGGAGATGGTGGCCAAATTACTTGGTTCCTGCCTGTTTTAACCTATTCATGTAGAAGTTTAATGCAATACAGACTTCATGGCCA